CAATCACTGAAACAATGTCAGCTGGTCCTTTTAAGGCAGAGCTGCAATGACGTTGAAATATGTTTTGGGGGATAAAGATCATTTTCTAGGCAAATATTGACTTAGGAATTAATTGCTGTTACGCTGATCACTCTTTATAACATTCTGGAGTATATGCAAATTGCTGTTATAAAAACTGAAGCAGTAGACTTTGTAAATACTAACATTTGAATCATTCTCAAAACTTTTTGGCCATGACTGTACTGTATATATATATAAACATTAATATATAAATGTTTATATATATATTTATATATATAAGTTAAGGGTGTTGCTCAGGAACTGAGAGTGGGGGCTGGGGGGATCTAACCAGGTATTTGCAAGCTTCTCAGAGAACAAGCGCACCGCTCCAACCCACTAGGGCAACACTCCCCCATGCAGTATAAGTTTTTAACATTTGACACTAAATCCTGACACTGTTTACCACTCTTTTCAGATTTATTGCATTTTATGGCATAAAAGATCTGTATCTGCCTTTAATTCAACACCAGTAACCATCCACCATTTTAATATCTAGGATAAAATGAATCTGTCATTTCCATAAAAGAAAACAGAGGTCTCATTTGTAGGATTATTATATAATAAGGATTAAAGGCTTTTCAGATGCTGCTTCTGGTTTTCTGTATTCATCTTAAATTTTGTTGTTTTGTTTGGCTTCCCTCGTGTTCTGACCACAGTGGGAAGCTAAAGAGGCCAATTATCTAAAAATGATCTTTAGGAGCTGCAGATATCCTCATTCTCTCTCTCTCACACACATCCGTTCATTAGCAGATTTCGAAGTGAACGCTGGAGATAAGACGTGGGAGAGGTCCACAATCATCCACCACCAGCTGCTCCACATGTTTTAAAGGGCTACCTACTGTCACTGCTTAGCTACCTAAAAGAAATGCAGGTACTCAGTGTTTCCTTTGGCTTATTGGAAATCAGTAGCAGCACCAGAATGTCACCATCCATGTGTGTCTCTAGGAGTCTTATTTCCTGTTATTTGTTGATTAGCTCCTGCATCCTCTTCAGCCACATTATCACCTCTTAACAATGTCAGCACTTGCTAATTAAGTCATGTTTTGATGATCTAATCACGTTCAACTGTCCTTTGACAGTATTTATCTTTTTTCAGATTAAGAACAGGGGAGTAGAATAAAGAGGAAACGGATAAGATTGCTTCCTGATACCAGAGTTTCAAACCACAAGACAGAACACATA